AACTCCAGCTTCCCAACGTGGAGGGGAAGTGAGAGCAAGTGCTATGGGATCCTGGGGGAAAAGCAGCCTGTGTTTGCTGCTGCTTTGACAGTTGAGGATCCGAGAGGGGCTGGCAAACAATGGGAAATGAAACATTTGAGTGGTTGCAAAAAGTTCCGTGGGAAATCCCCCCTGGTGGTATTTATGTGCAAAGGCTGTGACAAGGGGGAGCTGGGGGCTTTCAATTTCAAGGGTTCCTGAGCAGACCACACTCCCGTCCTAAGACGGCAGTCCCCAGGAACACTTCCCCTCGGGGCCACAAAAGGCCAGTGTGGCTGTCCAAGGAAGACGTGGCCATGCACATGAAGTTGAGCCGCAACGGCTCGTCGGGCCTCGGAACCTTCTGGTCTAAGGCAAATCTCTCAACTATTCCCCTAGATTCTCCCAGGCCCCAAGAGCCTAGGGGCTTACATGACTGAGGGGGTTTCCCTCCCGCTCAGTCTCGCCTGCAGGATTGTGGGAACCTCACCCTGCAGACATCCCCTCCCATTTAATTGAAAAATCCAAAACTAAGGCCCCCTTGCACTCCCCACGACACTTTCCTGTTACTACGGGGCCTCTTCCTGCTTTCTCCATTCCCAGTTGTAAGGAGCATTTAAGTATTTGTCTGTTGCTTCCCCGCCTTCATTTAGATAAATGAGGACTTTATTAACCAACTCTGTTATGCTTTCCTTAGAATGAATAAATATTCAAAATACTGAACCACTCTTGCTAATGTCTTGTTGCCACTGTGATAGAATATATGTGTTTATAGATCCACTTAAGGTAAGGTTTATAGATTTTCAGAGACACTTAGCATATGAGAAGACTGAAACTTAAAGGGGTTAAATAACGTGCCCTTGTGTATTAGTCATGAGGTTTCGGTTGCAAAGTGACAGACTCCTAACTTAAACGGACTTAAGGCAGATCAGAACTGTACTGGGGTATTTAAATGAGAAGCAGGGCTGATTAGCTTCAGGCATGGCTGGATCTAGGCCCTCAATGAACTCTTCAGGAATTTGCCTCTTTCCATCTCTTTGGCTTTGCTTTCCCTGTATTGGTTTTATTTTTAAATGGGCTCTCTCTATCTGTTTTCCTGATGTTTCCACATCTTCCCAGAGTCAAATCTCTCCTCTGTAAAAGTCCCGGGGTTAGGTCTGATAGGTTCAGCTGCCCATTGCTGCACCAATGACGATGGAGAGGGGAGGGAACGATCTCGTTGGTCAGGCCCCAGTCACATGCTTACTGCCCAAGCCTAGCCAGATCACGTGGACCAAGTGAGAGTGAGTAGTCCCCGCTTCTGCTCTTTCCAGAGAAGCAGGAACAGATGCCGGGCAGGCAGAAAGACCTGATATCCTATACTCCCATGTCACACTGCCAGTCCAGGGCGGGCAGGCCTGCACGCAGATCTGCCCTCCGCCTTCTCCATGCTGCTGGAGACCACCTCGGGGACCCCCTCATGCTCCGGCCTATCTGGGACTCTAACCCCACCCATGCCCCATGAATTCATTCAAAATGCCCCATGTGCATTTTGGGAGCTGCTGGAGGGAGGAAGACAGTGGAGGAGAGCAAGAAGGACAGGTGACAGAAGCTGTGGCTATAGGAACCCCCGCTCCGATTTTGACCATGCGGCAATTCCTGTGTGTTTGTATATTCACTTCCCCATACACTTTCATTTAAAGCAAAATATATTTAAAGCTCGAAAATCTGCAATCCTTGCCCTCTCACCCATTCACAAATGAAGAACAATAGCTCAGAAAGACACAAGAACTCGACCAAGGCCGTGCACGCAACATGGTGCAGAGAGAGTCTGAGAAATCATGCCTCTGGACGCCTGTGTCCTGCCCTTCCCACTTGCAGCCTTGCAAGTGGGTCAGAGACCCGTGGGCAAAGACCAGCAGACACAGGCCTGCCTTACATCCCTGACTTATCAGCCAAGGATGCAGATCTTAACACGAATGGAGCAGCTTCCCGGAGCAGAACAGAAAGAGGAAACATTTGTGCAGCTTTTTCGTTTTTTTGAGTCTTGGGGTTCCCTGCACCCGAGCAGGCAGCTGCGGGGACTCTCTGTAGGTAGGATCCTGCCAGAATGCAGAAAAACAGCCGGATTCCTGCGACTCCCTCCTTGTACTCGGAACTGACATCACCGTTCCAGAAGAACTTACATGCGTAAGCCATGTGCTCCTCTTCAGGATGTTTACAAACAACTGTTCCGCTCTGTCCTCCCCTGTCTGCAAAGCTTTCTGCAGCACCGGTCACTGCCAATCATCACAGCGAAACTTTCTGAGCACTTAACCAATGTTTCCGGAACTGAGTGCTGAGCGCTTGAAAGATTTTGTTCCACCGGATCCTCCCAGTCACCCCATATGGTAGGTATTATGATTATCCTCGTGTTACAGGTGAGGCGATGAAGGTGCAGAGAGATGAGGCCATTTCTCCCAGGTCCTCAGCCAGTCTCAGACTCAGGCAATCAGCGTCAAGAGTTGCACTTCTACGCAAGACGCGCGAGGAGTGCTTTGGACAAGGAAGATGTAGATTGTCGCCACATCTGAACACAGACAGACAGAAAGTTCTCAGCTTCCTCCAGGCCCGTCCTTCCATGGCTCAGGGACTTCTGGCTGAGCCTACGTTTTCCTTTCTACTTCTGTCCTACACTCTCTTGCCCGGTGTCTCCAGCAAATACACACACGGGGATCCCAGGTACAGAACTACTGTATTACCGAGTGGGCATGGCTCACGAGGTGCCCTCAGAACGCGGGTAAGTCGGGTAAGGAAAGGCACGCGGTCTCATGACTGAGGCTACCTTGCAAGAGCTTATTGAATTAGTGTGATTCTTAACATCTTCAAGTTGGATCCCCTCCAGGCCAGCCAGCTGGAGCATTCAGTACGACTCAGCTCGCCTTAACTCAATTAACTAAGCTGGGCTGAGCCCGGCTAAGCTGAACTCAACAAGTATTTCTTAAATGCTGAGCTGCCTGCAGGAGGGAAAAAAAAAAAAAAGAGAGAGAGGGCAAGATGCAGGCTCTGCCAGACTCGGCCCTTAAGGAGATGCCTTGTACTCTTAATAGATAACACGGTGCCATGTTTATAAGTATCAACTTCAAAATGTCCCCATATCTGCACTCCTTCCATACCATGATTGACTTCCTATTTTTCTTTAAATAAAGTAATTTTTCTCGAAGTAAATTTTCTTTTTTAAAACTCTAAATTAGTTAGGTGAAATTCACATAACATGATATCGACCGTAAATAATCCAGTGGCAATTAGTACATTCACAGCGTCACGTAACCACCACCTACCTCTGTCTGGTTCCAAAACATTTACAAGACTCCAGTACAAAACCCCACGGCCATCAAGAAGTTTCTCCCCATTCCCACCTCCCCTTAACCCCTGCCAGGCACTAATCTGCGTTCCGTCTCTACGCATTTGCCTATTCTGGATATTTCACGTAAATAGAATCATACATTCTGTGGCCTTTCGTGTCTGGTTTCTTTCACTCACAATAATATTTTTAAGCTTCATCCATACTGCAACATGTATCAGAACTTCATTCCTTTTCTTTTTCTTTTCATCTTTTTTTTACTTTAAATTACATAGGATGTTGCCTACACTGATGAATCTGTATCTGACTAGCAGTGCTGATTGGAAGGTGGCAGCAAAGGCCGTGTTTGGTTGACCCTTTCTTCCGAAAAGAAAAACCGTGCAACTATTAACCGACATTTAATAGAATAATTTTTAAATGGCTCCTGTGTCAAAAAGGTGAAATGCTTTCTACACAAAAGACTGAGTCAAATAAAAGGCTTCACGGTTCCAGTCAAAGGGGGTGGGGAAACAAAATGACAGAATATTGACGATAGCACTGCAAACAGGATCCTACATACACGACCATGCTGTACGAACAGATGCTCTGAGTTCTCGCCTTCCCACCCTTATGACGTATGTGCAGTCAGCCCTGATATCACTGTTAACCAGAACTTCATTCCTTTTGATGGCTGAATAATATTCCATTTTATGGATAGACTATAATGTGTTGATCCATTTGTCCACCGATAGACATTGGAGCTGTTTCTACCTTTTAAGCTATTGTAAATCGTGCTGCTAAATAAGTTTAATTAATTAAGATACAATTGATGCATCACATTGTAAAAATGTGGAACGGTTCACGAATTTGTATGTCATCCTTGCGTGGGGGCCGTTTAATATTCTGTTTTGTTCCAGTTTTCGTATGTGCGTTGCTGGAACAAGCATTAAAGAAGTTTTATTCTAAAAGAAAAATTTACATCACTACTGTAAGTAGGAAACCTATATTCTTCTACGAGATAATGAAATCGATACTTAACTATTAGGAGTAAAAATTTCACCTGTGTAGCACATAAAATCACAATGTGCGCTATCAGATGCAGCAGTAAAAAGCTCGGGTGCCGGATGTGGTTGGCCTTGAGTCTGAATCCTGTGTGACTCTTTGCCATCGGTGTGACTCTTGGCACATGTCCTGTCTTTTCCCAGCCTCAGTTTCCTCATTTCTAAAATGACAATACTTAAATGGCTTCCTCCTGTGGTGGTCGTGAGAATTAGACTCACGAATAAAGTGCTCAGCACTCCGGCAGGCGCACGGTAAGTGCTCAGTACGTGAAAGTTGGTAGGTAGGACCCCGGGTCATGGCCACGACCACGGCCACAGTGCCAGCAGCTGACAGAGCAAAGATTTGCTACGTGCCAGGAACTGGGTGAAGGGCCTCATGTGCCTTCTGTCATGTAATACCCATGATGTTCTATAAGGCAGATTATTTACCCCCCACATTTTGTAGATCAGAAAACAGGCAAAGAGGTGGAGCCAGCAGTTGAAGGTCACACAGCAAAGACTTGAACTCTGGGGAAGTAAATGACAATCTTAGAAGCGACTGAAAGAGTCCACAGACCATCAGGGATGTCCCGGATAAAGGTGATTAGTTACAAAATGGCTGCCTGGGCCCTTGAGGTCCAGGCCTGGCGACTGCCTGCAAACCTGGCTGGTTCGTCCTCGCTAGAGTCTTCCCAGCGGCGTCCTCATGGAGTGGCTCTTTCTCAGGTCTGCCAAGAGGAGCCTCCCCGAGAGACCGCTCTTGGCCGTCACATCTTTCCTAGTTGACTTAACTCTTGCGGTTAATGGGCTCCCCTGCCCTCTCTGTGCCCCACCATCCCCCCTGGGTCCCTAAAACTGCCCCTTTGCTCTGCGATCTTTCCCTTTCCACACTGCATCTGAGCCTTCGAGACTGTCTCGCAGCCTCTTACTAATCGTATACTCCTGGTGCAAAAATTAGCAAGTCTCAAGTTCACATACATCTTTTATACCTTTGTCAATGGGGATGTGTATGATGCAGGCCACATGGGGAACCCTGTTCCATTCAAGGGCGACACTAGCATCAGGGTCATATTAGTTTCCGGCACTGTCATAACAAATCGACACCAACTGAGGGGCTTAAAAGAGCAGGAGTTTATTCTCCCACAAATCTAGAGGCCAAAGTCCCTTGAGTCCCAAATCGAGGTGTCAGCGAGGCCACTCTCCCTCCAAGTCCCCAGGGAAGGGTTCTTCTCTGCCTCTTCCAGCTTCCGATGGTTCCAGGCGTTCCTTGGCTTGTGGCTGCACTGGTCCAATCTCCGGCTCCGTCTTCCCATGGCCTTCTCCCTGTGTGCCTCTGTGTGTCCTTTTCCATCTCTTATGGGGACACTTGTCATTGGATTTAAGAAACACCCTAATCCAGTGTGATCGTCTCGATCCTTATTTTAATTACCTCTGCAAAGACCCTATTTCCTAGGTCACATTCCTAGACTCCAAATGGACGTGAATGTTTAGGGAACACTGTTCAACTCAGGACAGAGGTCTTCGAGTGGAAGGTGCCGATATTCTTTGTAACAGGTGTGTTGTATATTTGAGCCCAGTGGGTACTAACATAAAGGCGCTTACTTTTCCTCCAAAATCCAAAAGTTATCTTCTAAAAATCTCTCTCTTCCAGCCCTTAGTGGCACCATATTAACAGGTCCAGTCTGGATCAGGTCAGTTTAAAACATCTACCTTGTTCCCCTCCACCCTCTCCAAATCGGCTTTGCCCCAGGGCCTAAGAAACCTGGCTTGGGCCTGGCCACCTCTTGTGCTTCTGGTTCCCAAAGTGCACCAAATGGGAGATTCCATGGGCGACCAAATTCGGCCAGTGCTGCATGACACCAAGTTACCCAGATGCCTTTACTTTAGACTCGGCGTGTGCCGTCCATCCAAGAGCAGGTGGTGGCCAACCTCGTTCAGCCCGGGAAACGATTTTCCACACAACACCTCACCCCCGTGGTGTTCCCCAGGGCACACCGTGGGAAATCCCACGCTGTGTAAAATACTGCGAAATATATAGTATATCTACCGCTATTATGTATGCATTGCAATAGAAGATGAGTTTTTGAGTTAAATACACCAACTCTGGAACAATTTCGTGACTTATTCAGAAAATTGGCCTCCAGATCACTGTGGCCAAGACCCAACTTGGCTGGGAGACTGCAATCCCTCGGCAGAGCCACATGGACAGTTAAGCTGGCCAAATTCAATTCTGAGAGAGGATCAGAGACTAGAGCTGCTCTGATTTCCCTAAGCCCTGCTTTAGCAGCCAGGAGGGTGTAACTCTCATATTGAAAGGCAAGTACTTTCAAGGAAAATTTACACTATAGTGTAGTCTGATAATGTATGCAATTACGTTATGTAAATTCAACTACAGGGACTCAGCAGAACAGCAATAATAACAATGATAATATAATAATGAGAGAAAAGACAGAATAAATAAATGTTAAGTGCCAGGCAAAGCTTCACCTGCCGTTCTCCCGGTGTGAACCTGGACCCACTCAGTAGTCTCAGCCCTGAGCATGAGTCCAGTGCTTAAATATCTGTTGCTTTCATATGACACGGCCTCTAAAAGCTGGCTCACTCATTCACCTCGTGCTCAGCTGGACAACGGACAACCTTCTCGAACAAGGTAGAAAACCTAGGTGCCCTGAACCGACTGGGAGAAAGCACAGGAGCCTCCAGTGTAATCTTTCTGGGAACCTTCCAAGGTAATTTCTGACCGTAGTCCGTGTGTGTCGTCCCCAGGAGATTAGAGCTGCATGGCCACATTGGATGTGACGGCACCGCGATCTCAAAGCTGAATAGGATCTGGCTTTGCCCGACTTGTTAAATACCTTCTGAAAGTGAGGACTAATGCTGCACTTGGGTTCATTAGGGGCCAGCAAGGTGATAAGATCTGAAGAAACCCAACATCAGTCGTGGAAAGGCACCGTCAACTTCCCCCTTTCACTGCCGTTCATCTGCTCTTTAAACGATGCAAGTTTGCAGTCACGGAATACCTAACTCGCTGCCAGAGCTCTGGCATCCTGCGGGGCCAATGCGTCGTATGGGGTGCGAGAAGCAGCAAGTTTCTACCACAGAGTCAGGCCCTCGGGTAGACACATCCTGAGACGAAGCATCTCAGCTTTCCCACCAGGAGTGCTCAGCTACATGCGTTGCTGGCTGCGGGTGGTTCAGGTTAGTTATTTACTGCTGTCCTGTGTTAAGATTCCTGCCTCGGACGCACTGAAGGGACCGGGGAGGCAGTGACTTCGCTTGACTCAAATTGCAATCAGCCAGCCTCTTGGCTCTGTGTTTATCTACCCAGAACTATTTTTGGTGTGTGTTCATAGACAGCACACACCAAAGTATTTGGTATTTGAGATGCAGGCGTTAAGGATGATTAAAGTTAGCTGCTAATGAGGACGCCTAGAATAGATATATTGTGTGTGTGAGTGTGTGTGTGCGTGTGTTCGTGCGCATGCTGCATGTGTGTGCTCTGCTGTGTGTCTGCAAAGCAGATGTCTACAAAGCTGCCCTCAGGTGACCTCGCCAATGTCTTGGATAGGCTAAGATGTCCATGGACAGAAGATGGAAATAGATGAAAACTGGCCTGTCTCAAAATACTGCCTTAGCAAACATCCCAACTCCTCCATCTATATTTTTCCTATTCTTCAAAGCCATGCCCATCCCACCCCTTCAAGGCACCTTGCTTGACCACCGATAGCAAATCGATTCTACCTCCAGTACAAGATCCGATCAAGGTGGCAGGGATTACCTGGAGAACCGTGTTGAGAAGGATGCTGAGAACTGTCTGGGCTGTGAATGATGCTGTGTTAGTTTTCTTGCAGGCTGTAATAAAGTACCACCATTTAGAGGGCTTAAAACAATGGAAGTTTATTCTCTCACGGTTCTAGAGGCCAGAAGTCTGAAATTAAGTTGTGGGCGGGACCAGAGGGCCATGCTCCTTCTGAAACCTCTAGAAGAGGGTACGTCCTTGCCTCTTCCAGCTTCTGGTGGCCCCAGTGTCCCTCAGCTTGTGGCTGTATTACTCTAATCTCTGTCTCCGTCTTCACTTGCTAATCTTCTCCGTGTCTGTGTTTTCACATGGCATTCCCCTCTGTGTGTGTGTCTGTGACCAAATCTCCCTCTCTTTATAAAGACACCAGTCACCAGATTAGAACCCATTCTAATGGCCTCATCTTAACTGGATTATGTCTGCAAAGGTCACACTCACAGGTACCAGGGGTTAGGATTTGAACATATCTTTTTTTGGGGGGGGGGTGCAATTCAACTCATAACAGATACCAGGAGCAATTAGGGATGTTTCTCATGGATGAAGGAAGAGAAAGGGCCACTGATTTGACAAATCTGCCCTACAGCACTTACTTGTGGTATCATTTAATTGGAAATGAGCACAGGCTGCCTGCCATGACTACTAATTATCTGTCTGTCTGTCTGTCTGTCTGTCTCTGTCTGTATCTATCTATCTATCTATCATCTATCTATCTATCTATCTATCTATCATCTATCTATCTATCTATGATCTATCATGCGTATCTACCCTACTGTCTAATCCAGGATCTGGATGAAGCAGTCAGTTAATAAATTCTTGGTCAGTAATTAATTTTCATTTTATCTATCATCCTACTGTCTAATCTAGGATCTGGATGAAGCAGTCACTTAATAAATTCTTGGTCAGTAATTAATTTTCATTTTTTGGACTCCGAAGTTAGGCTGGACAAAAAGGTCTCTTTCCGAAGCACTATTCCCTAAGGGCTTTTGAGGGTAAACTTGCCTTCATATGCCTGATAAAGCGTTGGGTGCCGGGGCTTGCTGGTCTACCCTCTGTCTCCTCAGCCGCTCCCTACATTCCACAGATCTTGTCTACCAAATCCTACATGT